AGCAATCTTGTCAGGAAGGTGAGCATCACAGAATGCCAGGTTATTAGAACAAAGTGTTCTTGCATTGAGGAAGTACTTGAATAGAGGTCCAATGTCTGTCTGCTGCCTTAAATACTTAACATATAAATATATGTACATAGATTTATTTTCCCATCTTCATATATAAATATATTTACATATGTACATGCCTGTATACATACATCTATAAATGGTGTTTTCCTCCTGTCCCACTATCATGTTCGGCTACATTCCACTTGATAAAACCCCATTGTGGCCCTTTTAAAGGACAAGTAATTTCTGAGAGAATTCTGCCAATTGCTCATAAGTCAGATACCACAGTAAGGATACCAAATAATTAAGCAAACAGAAAAGTCTATGAAACCAAAAGTAAATTCCCATGTTCAATAGAAGATTAAAGATTTTTTTAAGGTATACCAATAAAATAGCAATAAATTGGCATAGTTTTCTAACTGAAATTTACCCATGAATGTTCCTATGAATTCTAAGTTTTCTACTCATGAATAAATATTGTATTTGGAAGTTATCTATACCAAAGATTTAACCTTAGAAGTTAATCACTACCTAATATGTGTGATTATCTTAGCTAACATTTGGTTACTGTGTGGCTAAAAGCAGTGCAGGTAATTTTAACTTTCTGAAAGTAAATTTAAAATAAACTTGGAAAATTTTTGGAAAGTCAGCTGCTGGAGAGGCTTCACAAAATGACTTTACCATGCCATTCTAAAGAAGAGTCACCCATCTTTTAAAGACCTGTTCCCAAAGATCAGTGGATACACGCTCAGCTCAACATTCAAATTGCTTTATCATGCCTAGATATAACCTAATTAGAAAGATAAATCTGCTACACAGAAAAACTCACATGTAATCTAAATCCCAATAGGAATGCCTTTTTGGTTACTTCTTTCCATTAACAAGGAAAACTAAGATGGCCCCAAACAGTTTTTGGTTTACCAAAATTTGTTTCATCAAGTGTGTCTGCTCCCTTCCATTGATATAAAAAGAAGAGATGCAAACATTATGAAGTTTTGTCACACCGGGATACATATAACTGGAAATACACCTATTGTCGTTCAAAATGTTCAGAGTTAGTTAGCCGACAGTTACCTTCAGAGAGACTAACATATGAAGAAAAAAGCCCTGGAGGGTTCTTAGAATTCTTCACTAGAACAGTATGGCTTCCCTGATCCAACAGGCAACCTGAGTGTAAGAGGGAACAGTATAACTGGAAATAAAGTTTTAGACTTCGAACCTTTGACCAAATGCAGTCTCAAGAGCAGACTCAATGTTTTTAAAGAATACAAGAAGATGTCTTATATGCACAATTTAAAAATTAAGATTATTGATTATAAAATATACCTTGCTGCGCTAAAGTCGATCTTAGCATCCCAGTCTTTGACCAAATTTTTATTTGTCCATCTTCTCCAACTGTAAAGAGAAAATAATTGATATTTTCATAGTAAATAAATTTAAACATTAAATTTACATATAAAGATTATAAGTATCTATATTAGTGAATATTTAAGATTCAAACACAATTTACTCTAATTAAATGATAGAGTGCTTCATAACTGTAGAATTTAATGCAAAGGACTTTGAATCAATTTTATTATAGACTAATTTCCAAGACTAAAATTTTGTTTTTACTTAAATCTTAGAAGACTTAATTCTATTATTCAAATAATGTCTTCATTCTCCATTCAAACTTTATCTTAGAATTCTAACAGACGTGTTTTCAGTGCACTAAGCAGAGCTGTGATCAAGTACCAGGAAGTCAGTGAAGAACTGAGGAGGGGGCTACATCTGCCTTCCTTTGCCTACACAAAGAAAAAGAGACTCCAACTCCCCACCAGCCCCAGGCTGATTGGCACAAGGCAGTGAGGTCAGACCTGCCTCCATCCTCCATCTTTCTACCCAATGAGGACAACCATCCCATGCACTCTGCTTCTCTGCTAGGTCCTATCATCTGTTGCAAAGGCCACATAAAACTCTCAGATAATCATCATGATTATGAGGGCTTACTAGGGAAGTTAACATGTTATCACAAGCCAGGATCAGAAAATATTAAAGATACAGTCATTAGTCCACAGTAGTACCTCTT